TTCTCCTTCTCCTTCTCCTTCTCCTTCTCCTTCTCCTTCTCCTTCTCCTTCTCCTTCTCCTTCTCCTTCTCCTTCTCCTTCTCCTTCTCCTTCTCCTTCTTCTTCTTCTTCTTCTTCTTCTTCTTCTTTCTTCTTCTTTCTTCTTCTTCTTTCTTCTTCTTCTTCTTCTTCTTCTTTTTTTTGTGGGACCGGGGATTGAACTCAGATCCTTGTGCTTGCCAGGGAAGTGCTTATTCTACTGAGCCATCTCCCTGGCCCTCCTTGTAACTCAAAATGAACAACTTAAAAAAGGAGTTATGGGGTTGATTGATGTGGTTGATCCAAACCATAAGGGGAAATTGGGCTCTTAATTCACAGCGAAGGTCAGCATGAGCACATCTGGAGTACAGCAGATCCTTCTGGCCTCTTCCTAGTATAACTTGTCCTGTTACTTGGTGCTACACAACACAAGGTCAGTAGGAAACTACAGAACTTTCAGGAATGCAGGCATAGGTCACCCCTCCAGGTAAAGAACCATGATGTGCTAAAGAGCTTGCTAAAGGCCAAAGGAATACAAAATGGAACTATAAATTAAAAAACTTGAAGACTGCTATTAAGTCAATCAACATTATGTTACAAAGAAAGAAAATAATATATTTTTAATATATAGCAGAAGGTAGTTACAAGTATAGCTCTGGCTGCATGATCAGTTATAGAAATGAGGACTATAATTGTCACAAATATTTCTTTACTATTTCATTAATATTTTTGTACATATATACACATATATTAAGTATACATATATTGTTTTCTTTCTCGATACTATAATGTTGATTGACTTAATAGCAGTACTAATGATGTCAAATCTATATTATAATGTTTAAGTTGTGAAATGTTGTAAGATGAGTAAGCATTGCCCAAGCAATCGGTGCCTTTCCTTTGTTTTTTTAAATTTTGTCTTTCCTTTAGAACATAGGATAGTTATATCATGTTAAATGTAACTTGCCATTATATTTGGAAATAAATATGGTTTAGAGAGATATGTCCTGTGAGAGTGATTGTGATAATTGTAATGTGTCTACTTAACCTGAATGAGAGCCACTTAGCAGATTATTAAATTCTGGGTGTGTCCAGGGATGATTGACAAGTGTACCATTGAACCGATACATGTAAGACCCACGCCAGACACGGATGCCACCAACCAATAGGTTTGTACATTGAACAGAATAAAAGGGGAATGAAGAGGAATGCTGGGCTCTGCTCCTGACTTTTGTCATTGGTCTCCAGTTTCTTCATCTTTGTACCATGACTCTTCAGCCTTCTGACAAACTCACACCAGAAACTCCTAGAAGCTGGTCCTTTGGCTGTCACTGGATCCTCTTCCCCTCCAGTGCATGGACAGCCGTTTTGAATTCTTCTGCCTTTGACCAACCAAAGGACTACTGGAAAACTTCTGCTTCTGATCCTATACACCTATCTAATAAACTCCTTGTATAGACATATATATTTAATATTGAATGTGTTCTAGAGAACCTTAATGCAACTGGTATGAGATTTCAGTAGCAAAAAGAAAACTTGAAAACACAAAAACAAGGACCAGCCAAATGGTTCAGCAGATTGAAGTGCTTGCTTAGGCAGATGCAGGGGCCAAGGGTTCAATTTCCAGCCTGCCGTGCCAGCCCCACCCCCAGGGCACACTGAGATGGAGATTGAGATTGGGTGTGGTGGTCCACACCTGTAATCCCAGTGCGTGGGAGGCTGAAAAAACAGGAGAATCACTATGAGTCCAATCTGTGTAGTGAGACCCTGTAGACCCTGTAGTAAATACATTAAAAAAACAAAAGAAAAAAAAAGACAAGCAGCAAAACCAGACCCCCAAATTCTCTATATTCATTCATCCATGTTTCTTCACAACCCAAGACAGCCACTTTCAGAGTATTATAATCCATAAAATGAATACATGCAGTAAGAGCAGGCATGAGTGGAGGGAAGGGGTGGCAATCAAAACCACAACGACGTGGTTTACTTGAGAAAAGCGGTGATCTTTGTGTCACAACGTTCAGTGACTGAGATGGAAAATGCCTAAGAGATCAAATTTGTAACTGACTTCAGTTGCCATTTGGGAGGTAGTATGAAAGCGATGAGCTTCCAGATTTTGATAGAATATGGACATAGCTGAGCTTTCAGGCAGGACATTATTTTGAAAGGAAACCAAGATGGGGGATTCCCATTGCCTTTCCATGCTTTCTGAACCAGGAAATAAATCTTTTATGTGTTTGCGTAGGTCAAACCTTCTTCTTCTACTACCCGGTACAAAATCATCTATCATGTCCTGAAAGCATCTTTTCCAATCACAATTTCCTCCAATTATTATTATTATTTTTTGTATTTTAGGGAAGGGTCTACAGGGTGTTCAGGGTCTCATGACTAGATTGGACTCATAGTGATCCGCCTGTTTACAGCCTCCCAAGAGCTGGGATTACAGTTGCGCACCACTACACCTAGTCTCAAGCGTACCCCAGGGGTGGGGCCAGCATGGCAGGCCTGGGGATTGAACCCCAGGCCCCTGTGCCTGCTTGCAGGTGCTTTGATCCACTGAGCTATTTGGCCAGCCCTTCTCCAATTGTTTTGATCTCTAGGTGGTCTTATTTATGAATGGTCTGTAGGCTTGTAGCTACTCTAAAGGGTAACAAAAATAAAGGAATTTTCCATGACTGGCCCCAAAAGCATAAAAATAAGACAAAGGAATGATGGTCTTATGGAAAATGAAACAATTTGAGATGCTAAGTCAAATTTTCCAAGATTAGGAAATATACTCAGGTTGTGTTTGTAATTCATCTACACCACCATATGATAAGAAGTAAAAGGTTACAAACCCCACTTTTGCGTATGTCCTATTGGTCAGCCAATGCAAATGTTACATCTTGGTCATTAACGATTTCTGCTAAACAGAGGCCCCTAGGCACTAATCACACAGGCAGTGGCATACTGAAGAAACACATCACAACTTAAAAAAGGGGGGGCTCAAGAAATGAATGAAAAGGTGAGAAGGAAAAGGGATAGGGTTGAGAAAAAGAATTAAGATATGTACATGTGCCAACTCCCTGCGAGGAGTATAAACATTATATACTTGATGTACTATAGACATGCACTAATAAAAAATTCTTAAAAAATAAAGATATCTTCTCCCTCCCCCATTGGTGATTCTCAACTTACTACAATACTTTGAAGGCTGCCGAATTATGCAAAAGAATTTTATCTTTCAAAAAATAAAGCATTAACAGCAGTCCTCAGGAGATGGTAAGTTTTATTTTGTCTTGTCTGGATAGAGGGTCTACAGGGTGTTCAGGGTCTCATGACTAGATCGGACTCATAGTAATCTGCCTGTTTACAGCCTTGCAAGAGCTGGGATTACAGGCATGCACCACCATGCCCAGTCTCAATTGCCCTCTCAGCATGCCCCAGGGTCGGGGCTGGCATGGCAGGCCTGGGGATTGAACCCCCATTCCCTGCACCTGCTTGCAGGCGCTTTAATCTGCTGAACTATTTGGCCAGTCCATCTTAAGTGTTTTACTTTCATCTTTCCTTTCTGGTCTTCAGTAAGATGACTGATTTGGATCCTCCTCTCCAGACACTACCATATCTAGGAGATTTCTGCCACAGCTCTGAGGTGGAGCAGGAGGGCTGCTTTACCACCCATTCTCCTTAAGTGAAGAGGCTGGCATTATCCTTAGAAGCTGATAGTGTTTAGGAAGCTTAGAAATTGGAGAGTAGCAATGTTACACCTTACTATTTTATTTTCATTTCATTTTCTAAAGACTTCTTTTTCTCCCTTATGTAAGGTGAGGCTGAGGTCCAAATCTACAATGGAACCTTCCTTTCCTTGACCACTTTCTAGAGACTTCTTTTCTAGAAACTTCTTTTCTCTTGGACTCTACCTGTCCTTGACCACACCTGAGTTTCTTCACTTCGCCAGCTTGACTGCTGCTGAGGTTTATCCAGCCCACACTGTGATTTCTCTTGCTCCTTCTGCTGCCTCTCCTCCACTTCTCTTTCTCTAGCAGCTGTGTCAACAGGTTTTGCCTCTCCAAAGATGGAAAGTGCTCTACTGGGCTGGGAGGGGCTAGTGGAGGAAGCATCTTCCTTAGGACGACTATGAGGTTTCAGATTCCATCTGGGTCTGTAGGGCAGAGCCCTATAATTACGCCAAGAACCATCTGTAGAGTGATCGTCTCTGGAGCTCCACGGCCCCTCATCATCTTGCCTCGCATACTGGCCATCGCAGCAGTCCTCACCTTCTCCGCAGTAATCAGCACTATGGTTTCCACTACCAAATGTTTCTCTGCTACTGCTTATTCTGGAATCACTGGCTCTATCTCTGCCCCTGCTGCTTCGGTGACCACAGTGATTCTGGCTTGCACAGAAATTCCTATTTCTGGATAGGCCATTCTGATACCTGTCACCATCTGAATTATGACAGTTGTGATACTTGGCTCCAAAGCTATCACCACCTCTTCTAGGGAGGCCGTCATCTTCCTTGCTGTCTGCAGCAGGACGGGCTCTCCAATCTGTGTCTGTTTTGTCAGGCACCTGTTTTCTATCCTGGTGTGCTTGCTCAGCTAAGACAATTCGAATTATCCTCTTGCCTAGACACTGTTTATTGAGACTCAGAGCACTGAGGAGGGAATCCAGGTCCTCAAACTCAACATAACTGAAACCTTTCAACCTTTCTGGATTGCAGGGGTCACGTGGTAAGTGCACCACCTTGACATTTAATCCTCTGAAGAAGTCCCTAATGGAGTCTTCTGTCAGATCTTTGGGTAGGTTCCCAAGAAAAGCAGTGTAGGGTGGAGACTTGGGAAGATGGTTCCAGTCGACACTGGATTCCTGAGCAGCACATGGAGCAGTGGGAAGGACAGAGTGCACCATTCTGGCAGCTCCACATACATCCTCATCACTACTATGCCATCCAGTTGAAACATCTTCCAGGTCTTCCATTTTATCAGCCCAACTGACTGATTTGAGGCCATGGGCACTTCCTCTTTCAGTGTCCCCACTGTCACTCAGAGAGTCTGTCAGGAAGATACCTTCCTCCTTCTTATTCTTTTCTGATGAGGCCCCTAGGTTAGAAGAGGGAAAGAGAACACAAAGGTTACATTAAAAATATATTATACCCATTACATATATCTATATCTTATCAGAAGCCAATCTTTTATCTATTATTTATATTATGCTATTTATAATACATAATACAATGCATATATAAAAATATGTATTTCCATGTATTGCATATGTAAATGAAAGATTAGTTCTCTATATAATACATATTTGAGATATGGTTTCTCTCTCTCCGTCTATAAATTAAAGACCTGGATGGATAGTTTCATTATCAACTGGACAAAATCAAGCTGTAAAGTAAACATACAGAGTTGATAAAATAAAAACTACAATAAAGGAACAAGAAAGCATTTGCAGAACTTTAATAAAATACATGAGATCATTTTCTACATGAGCAGGGCTGATGTGTAAGAGACTCCCCCACCTACCCAGCAACTGTCTTCATCATCAACGTAAATGTGATCACAGTGCAAGTAAGACTACACAAGGCAGCTAAATGTTTTTACTCACTTTCATAACATCAGGATTCTTCCTTCTCTGGTGGGTTATGTTTACATCAACTACTCTGAGTTATATATAATATAATACATAATATACACATATATGTTAAGTTAACTTCAAACTGCGGTATCAAATCTGTATGGTATACATAATATATAATATAGAATATAATGTATAATATATAATACATTATAATTATTCTTTCAATTTCTTACACTAGGAAGACAATGTGGTGTTTACACACATGGGTCTGATTTATTTCACTTATGAGTATGGTCTCTAGTCGCATCCATTTACTTGCAAAAGCCTCACGTTTACCCTTTTTTATAGCTGAATAATATTCTGTTGTATACAAATACCACATCTTTTTTACCTATTCCTCAGTTGATGGTTTTTTTGGTTTTTCCAAGACTTAGCTATGACAAATTGTGCTGCTGTAAATATGGGTGCACATATTTCACTGTGATATAATATTTTCAGTTCTTCTGGAAAAATACCCAGGAGGGGAATAGCTGGGTGTAATGGGACCTCAAATCTCAGTTTTCTGAGGATTCTCCACACTAATTTCTAGAACGGTTGTACCAGTGTATATGCCCACCAACAGTGAAGAAGTGTTCCTTTTCCCCCACAGACCCCCCTCCCTCCCACCAGCATTTGTTATTGATTGACTTCTTGATGTTAGCCATTTTGGCAGGGCAGAGCATGAGATGGAATCTCTGGGGGTTTTTTAATTTGTACTTCTCGAATGACCAATGAAGTTGAACAATTTTTTTTTTACATATTTATTTGCCGTTTGTATTTTTTCATCTAAAAAGTGTATATTCATCTTAGATGCACACTTTTTGATTAGGTCTTTGAATTCTGGGGACTTAATTTTTAAAAATTCTTTATATGTTCTAGACAGAAGTTCCTAGAGTAAACAAAATCTGAAAGGTGTAATAGATACTGTGAAAGGGAAAGAAAGTGTTCAAAGGAAAGGAACAACTGGGAAGAGAAAGAGGAGAAAAGAAGAAGGAAGGAAGGGAAAAAGAAAAAATATATATATATATACAGGATAGTTCAGATAATTGTACTGCTGATTTCTGCTGGTGTGTTGAAAGGAGTGGTTAATGCTTAATTTTTTTATCTTTGTGAATTTTTTTATAATTTTTGACCAATTTTACATGCTTATATTTGACAATATTGGTGATTAATTTGAAGACAACAATATACAATATAGCAACCGCTGTTGAATTCCTAGAATTTGAAGTGAAATTTGTTTAGTGAAATTCAACATCATTTCTTTTTTTTCTATTTTTTATTCTCTTAAAAAATAGCTAAACCAAGAAATCAACAAGGCCAGTCAACATGGTAAAGAATACATTATATATAATATTTCATATATTACAATATTATATATGCTATATAATATAATGTGCAATCTATATATAATGTGTACATATATATTTGGTTTATCCTGAGAATGTAGTTGGGGATTGATATTGCAAAGTAAATTGCTGAATCAACATACCAGTCCTTTATAAGAAAGAAATCATAGGGTGCTGTCAGCAACTACCTCATTGATGAAATTCAACACCTACTGATGACTATGCTTTTTGGGAATAAACTTCAAAGGAAAAATACACCTACATTAAGTTTGAAATTTGATCAGAAAAATAACAAAGAGAAAAGAAAGTTAAAATATCATTCACATAACAGGAAAAGACATTGGCTTTGCAGAAATCAGTTAAGAGTCTATGAATCCAATAAAAATTATTAAACTCCAGTAAATCAGGAATGAATCACTGACACCCAAAGACTCTTAGTCACATAAAACTCTTTGAAGAAAACACAAACAAATAAAACTCTCAAACTCATTAGCAAAAAACTGGAGAAACTGAAAATTAGATTCATGGCTAGGTACCATCATCTCAAAGCCATCAGAGGGTAAAATTATAAACATAAAACCAGGAAGATGAGGAGCATTGGTTGTTCTATTGCTGGAAGAGTACAAAAGGTAAATTGTAATTATCTGTAGAAACTAGGAACATGGCAACATGCGTCTCAAAGATCAGCACTTTGGCTTTAAAGTCCTGGACTCTCCTAGAGTCTAAGGCAGGATTTTGTGACCAAAACAATTATTTCTGTAGTAAAATCTATATTCAAAGTACATGAGATGAATAGGATTATAAATAATTTCACATCAGTACAGTTCAGATGAGGGCCCTGGGACAGGCAGGGTCAAGGGAAGCCAATCCTTGGACGCTGCCCCTTGGTGTTCACACCTTTGAAATTCCTTCCTTCTAAGGGTTGGCAGGGCCAGAACATCACTTCTGCCCAGCAGAATATGACAAAGTTGATGGAAAGTAATTCCTGTGATTAGCATTGGTTATTTACACACCCTCTTGCCAGTGCACTTGCTATGGAGTCTCCCTTTCTGGGATCCCGTTGAAGAAAACACTTGGTCATGTGGATGCCCACTGTGCAAGCAGTTGATGAGAGGACCTGGCAGTGGAGGGCAGCCTGCAGTCACAGCCGGGAAACCAGGGACCCATCCTACAGCCCCAGGGGAATGAGTCCTGCCAGCCACCTAAGCGAGTGTGAGTTGGGAGCCTCCCCAGGCAAGAGACACAAGGAGAACAGAGCCTGGGAGCACTTTCACTGCACCTCCAGAGAGCCTAAGCAGAGTGCACCCCATGCTGAGCCCCGATTCTTGACTCACAAAGACTGTGGTATTTGAATCATTTTAAGATACTGGATTTTGCCATTGTCTTGGTAACAATAAAGAATTACTACAGCTAGAAAATCATTTTAATCTCAGGTCTCATATGTAGGAAAATGAATCAAAATAAAACGTCACTTTGCGAAAGATATTGCATTGTGTAGTTATGGGAAGAATTATAGGAGTGAAGCAAGCACTGATAAATGGAGCAGGAAGACAAGCCTCTGAGACAGTAAAACATGGCTTCTGTCAAGGTTCTAATATTTACCTGTGTTATCGGAGTCAAGTCCCTAAAGCTATTTGAAGCACGGTCCATCATACTCACCTACCTTTCTGCACTACCGTCAGAAGCTGAAGCAGTCATGAGAACCGTAATAGTCGTCCTATGCCAAAGAAGACCCATCCTACCCCACCAAACTCCGTGCTGTGCCGAATACTATGCTAACTTTTCCTGTGTGATTGCAGCTAGTGTTCAAGGTAACTCAGTGCAGTGGCAGCTGTGAGTACATTCCTTTCTCAGAAGGAGAAACAGTGCCAGGAGCTGCCTGGGGTGACAGAGTAGTGCAAGAGCCAAGGATCTCCTCAGAAGACCTGGATACTCAGGACAAACTCAGCAAGAGCCTGCTAAATGGGGAAAGTGAGGCAGCCCTGATGAAAATGATCGTACAACCCCTGCAGCTGCCTGAGGTCCCTCCCATCATAGCACCGAGCAGTCTAGGATTCACATACCCTGAAGATGCATTAATTTCATCTTTGTGTTCATGTAAAGCTCAGCAACATCAAACACAGTCTGAATCTCCAAGGAGAAGACTTCGGGTGCTTCCAGCTTCACTGCGCAAGTCCTAGAAGAAGCAAAATCCTCAGTGGTCTGCTCCATTTAACTGTATCTATCTGAACCCACCCTTGCTGTGTCCATCCAGGACTCACCTGCTCAAGGTGTCTTTCACATCCTGTAAGAGACAAAAACAAAGGAGAATGTGTTAGCCTCAGTGCTCCATGGGCTGTGGCATGAGAGACTCTGTCTGTGAACACAGCTCCCCAAGAAGGAAAGAGCAGGGCCAGCCAAATAGCTCAGGGGATTAAAGCATCTGCTTAGGTAGATGCAGGGGCTGGGAGGTTGATCCCCATGCCTGCCATGCTGGCCCTGCCCCCAGGGGGCACTGAGACAGCAACTGAGACTGGGCGTGGTGGCGTGTGCCTATAATCCCAGCTCTTGGGAGGCTGTAAACAGGAGGATCACTATGAGTTTGATCTAGTAGTGAGACCCTGAGCACCCTGTAGACCTTTTCCTAAAAAATAAAAAGAAGAAAAGGGTACCAGCCTGAGACAGTGCTACAGGTCAGGAGCAACAATCCCGCCCAGCCTCTGCCCACTCAGCATGGGGCAGTGATCTCCCTGGGGAAGCCCGTGGGGAAGAGCAGTGGCTGCAGCAGCATGAGCCTGTGACCAATGGGGAACAAACAGGATCAGCTCAGCCTCCCTCTGGCAAGACTGGCTCTCAGGGACCTGATGTCCTGCAGAGTGAATTCATATTAGAAATCCCTTGCTATCAATATTCTCTACTGTGGCCCAGCTCCCGAGAATGGGCCAGCAAGATGGTGGCCACCAGTATCACAGGTTGGTAGAATAAATGTACGGTTTCTCCAACCTGAAATGTGCCCTCCTTTTCCACCAGAGATCCAGAATTAATAGTTCACGATGTTCATCCTCATGAAATACATCCTTTATGTAGCCCACAACATCTCTAGAGTAAGGGTTCTGCCAGAGAATCAGACAGAAGATTGAGCTGCCCACTGTTTGCCATCTACCATTTGGCACATTCGATGGGAGAGGCTGACGCCCTGCCTTCTGCGCACATGAAACCAGGCTGTTGGGGAACGATAACGACAGCTTTCCAGGGGTCCTTCCAGCAACTCTGTACTCACTAGAAGAGACTGTTTTTTCAGTGCTGGTCACTGAACTTTGGTTTCCTTACATTCTAGGCAAGCACTGTACCACTAACCCACATCTCAAGTTTTAATTTTATCTGGAGTCTCACCAAACCACCTAGGATGGCTTGCCATGGTGATGCTCCTGCCAGAACCTCCTTACTTGCTGGGATTACAGGGGTGGAGGGAGCATCATGCAATGGGGAAGTGTGCTCTTATATTTCACATACAGGTATCCAGTAGATGGATGGCCCTTCCCTGCTGGTACTGATGTGTAAGATACTTCCATTCCCACGCTGCTGCCCACACTGGAGTGAAAGCTGGTCTGGCCACTCTCTCCATGGCTAACATTGTTCCCTCCATCATTGCCAACAGTCCAATGTCAGAATCATTCTTCCCTCCTCCAGCCTCACCTGCAGAAGCTTCTGGGGTGATCTCTGACATTTGGCTTCCAGTTCCAACATCTGGCTCTTGAGCTCGTTGCTTTTCTGCTCCAGGTTGGCCTCACTCTCCATCAGTCTCTTCAGCATTTGTTCTTCCTCTTTCTTCAGTCTCCACAGATATGCCTTCTCCTCTTCATACAGCAAAGTGTGGAAATTCTTAAATTCAGACTCCATGTTTTGTCTCCGAATCTCTATCTTATCCTAAAATCAAGAAAACATGATCAAAACTATAAACAAACCAAGCCTCCCTATCTTCATGAATAAGTAAACAAATATAGGAGAAAAGTGACTAAGTGTACAGCTAAGTTATTTATTGAACAAAGGACTGGTAAAAGCAAGCTTTTAATTTGGGATGCAAGAAATATCACAGTTTGTGGAAATCTCTTATAGCAAAGCTACTTAAGAACATCAAGAAGGGAGCATTTTAATAAAATTTATCTGGTAGCACCTCCAGATTCTTCAGTTGTGGCACCTCATGTCGTGGTAAGTGGTTAAGTGTGCATCTACCTTCCCAGGTTCCCCTGGGAATGACATAACTCTCATATGATTACCTGTGTAGAACTACAGTTTCTAGAAATCCTTCCTAAATTAATGCAGAATTTCAATGGCAATTATACTGTGACAGAAAGTCATTGATTAGAGTGGACATTTTGTTTAGGAATTTGGTATACAATTTGCCTCTTGTTATTTTTTTTTAATTTTATTTATTTATGTGGGGGTGGCCAGCTCAGCCCACCAGGGGGCGGGGCTGGCTGGCATGTGGTGCTGGGGGATTGAACCATGGTCCCTGTGCTCTGCCAAGCTTGTTCTAAGTAGGTGCCCTAGACCACTGAGCCATCTCACCAGCCCCATGCCTCTTGTTATTGAAGAGCTTTTCATACATGTCAGCTACACTCAACATCTTCTCCCTGCCCAAGATGTCAGAAAGGAAGGGAATAGGATCCTCTGGAAACTCAAAATCAACCACCACACACAGAGAAGGCAGCAGGTAGATGGGATCCTGAAAAGAACAGACTGGGTAGTTGGGCTGTGGACATGAACCATCAGCTATAGGATTCCAGAAGTATTTCTCAAAAGGAATGTTTCTCTGATAATGTAGAGCCTGGTAAGCCACAGAAAGGGTCTAAAAGCCTTCAGGTCCAAGCGCACAGGTTCTAGCAGCAGCCATTGTGACCCTTACATTGCAAATTAGTTTCCTTTGTTGGCTGCAGGAATCCCAACCAAGAAGGAGCCTGTTTACTAAAGGTGATTTTGAGTCCCTTGCTAGGAGCAGTGAGAATAAACCATCCTGGTGTTTTGCCTTTCTCAGTCATACTCTGTCCCTCAACTCCAGAATGAAAAGTAGTTCAAGTTCCAGGAATCACACTCTTACCTTCCACGCAGTTATTTGGGTTGTTAAGAGCATCTTCTGATTCCTACACTCCTCTTGAAGTTGATTCAAATTTCTGGCAGCTTGCTCTAGCTTTTCCTGAAGGAAAAATTGGGTGAGTAACATCTCCTCAATTCTACTTTTCATAGGACACCTAATGGAAATTCCAGCATTCAGAATGTGGCAAAATAATAGTATTTCCTACCTTCTCACATTTGCCAGGGAGACTGCCGAGTGATGTAAGGGCTGTGAGATACAGACCCCCTCACCAAGCCTAACCGGTAAGATTTTTTTATTTCCTTTCTACACTGTGCAAAAAGAGGCTTCAAAAAAGTATCACAGTTTGTGGAAATGTCTTATAGCAAAAGCTACTTAAGAACAACAAGAAGAGAGAATTTTAATAAAATCTGTTTAACGCCGCCATAGGAAAGTAACTGGTAGGCAGTGGGCCTACAGTTCTAATATTCTGTGCTGCCCAGGACCTATGCCATGAACCCCACCATACTAGGGCCAAAGAAAGATGACAGACACAATAATCATCTAAACCAAAATAAATTAATGTGCCAAACCAAAAATAATCAATTCCGCAATGTTAAGCACCTAGAACTTTGTGAGTTTTGTGGTTGATTCAGAAAGAAAAGACCAGGGTGACAGGTGAAGTTACTAGAAACAAGTAATACAAGCACAGGGGTGCCGATATGCTGTGAAGATAGAATTATGAAGGCAATTTAAAAGCACTTAGCGTCCATGTCAAGCTTTAAGTTATCTTTCAAAACAATCTCATACCCTCCTCGAAAGTAAGTTGAGACAGACACCAGTTATTCATTGTCAGAAGTAATGACTCTTTCCTCCACAAACCCCACAAGGACATTCATGGATTCTCTAGCACTCTGAGGAGAGGGCTCGACCTAAATGAGTTAGCAAGGCCGTCTAAGTTAGACGGCCTTGCTCTGGGTAATACCACATGCTATTCTAAGCTTCATATAGTATTATGTCCTTAAAGCTCATACATTCCCAGGATCTGAATGTTAGGGAGTGGAGGGGTGCTTTTATCTTTAAATACTGATTAAAAAGAAAACCAAAGCATGAAGACATTCAATAACTTCCCCCAAATCGTCCATCCAATAAATGCAAGAGCTCAGATTGCAACCTCAGCTGTGTGTCTCTGGGGCTGACCCTGAACTGCTCAATTCCCTACCACTTGACAGGAGAGAAACTCAAGAGCATCCCTGTCATAGGCATGAGCAGCTCCATGGAGTCCATGGAAGCACCTCATGTACAGAGTAGGGGCCAGGACTGATGTGACCTTAGGAAGGTCTTAGAGCCTTCCTGGGACCCCAGCTCTTTATCATGAAAGAGGGAACCAGGAGGCTATGTTGAGCAGAATTTCTTGAGCTCCAGCAGGGCCCAGAGCCAGGCCAGCAGGGCTAAGCTGTCTCCTTCCTTCACCACTGCTCAGACCAGTCATTTCCCAGCTCTCTAGGACACCCAGGAGCTTCCAGAACCCCTGATTCCCACTAACCTTCCACACCCGTCATTTCCAAGCCTGTCACTCCTCTGCAATCCTGTCTGAAACTGTCCCCTAGCTCCCTTTCTTGAAGGGATCAATGGAAGTCTAACCAGATACTCCTTGTATTTTCAGATTGCATAGGTAATTGTTTTCATTGGTAGTGAATCTTTAATTTGCAAGTGAAAATGGCCCTGTGACAGGTGACACTATGGTCTAGGAGTGAGACTGGGAGTGAGACTCAGCTCCTGTGCTCCCTCTTCCTTTCCCCAGCCCCCTGTGTATGGCCCACAGCCCAGCCAAGGCAAAGCAGAACCCCCGAGGCTGTGTCTTTCGCAAGTGCAGGTCCTTCTGCCTGGATGCCCTGCATGTGCTAAGTGTACCTGTCCTCTGGAGCCAGCTCTGGGATGCACCGCTCCCTCCTTTCCTGCCTCTCTCACCACCAGTCTGGGGCTCCAGGCTGCCACTTTGCTGACTTGTGTTTCTGTTGGCCTTTGTACTCTCCCCAGGACATGTACCCTCCACCCCTTCCTTTTCCACACTCTTGCTGAGTCCTACACACTAGTTTCTCACAGTATACACAATGTGAAGCAGAACCCAGGCCAGTGTTTGGCAGAAGGAAGTCCATGTTTGCACAGAGAATAGGGACAGGAGTATGACCATCCAGTTGAATGTCAGGGTGGATACTTTGGACAGGATCCATTGCAAGGTATTTTTCATAAGAATACCATCTCTGCACTTTAAGGTCATCACCTTAGGCTTTGGGAACAATAAGTTCAGGTCTTGGAAGCACCATGGGGAAGGTCCTTGCTGAGGTCCCTGGTGCACACTCACCTTGTAGCCCTGGTACGCATCCTCTACCAGCACTGTGCTGTGCCCTTGGTGCTGTGGTGCCCGCTCACAGCGCCAGCAGATGAACTGGCCATCATCTTCGCAGAAGAGCTGGAGCTGCTGCCCATGGGCCTCACACTGCTGCTCATCCTCTGTCTCTTCCATTTCCTGTATAACCTCAATGAGATTTGCCAGGTGCCTGTTGGAATGCATGTTATCTTTATGGAAAGGCTCCCGACACAGAGGACAGGTAAACATCTTCTGCCCCTGATTTTGTGGCAACTGTTCAAGATACAGCTTTAAACAAAACTGGCAGTAGCTGTGTCCACAGGGGATGCTCACTGGGTGTGTCATGAGGTTCAGACAGATGGAGCAGGTGGCAATCTCCTTCATCCTGCTGGTACCAGTAGCTGAAGCCATGACGTTTCTCGAGAACCTCCACTGTCAATCTGGAGGTAGAGGTGGAGCAGCTAGAATTTCCACAGGGATGAAACAAGGAGCTGACTGCAACTGCCTCCACAGGCCAAGTAGACTTCTTTCTAGAAGGACTAAGTAAGTTAGAGCTTAGAACATGTATAAACATTTAGCTGTGTTGTCTGATGTTGTAGTCACTACTGTTTATGGCTGTTTAAGTGTAACTTAATGGGCCAGGGAGATGGCTCAGTAGAATAAGTGCTTGCCTGGCAAGTGCAAGGGCCTGAGTTCAATCCCCAGTTCAGCCAATAAAAATAAATAAATGTAACTTAATGATTATTTAATAAAATTTAAAATCCAGTTTTTCTGTCCTGCTCCCCATAATTAGTTACTCAATGCCTCCCATGGCTGGTGTTTCTAGACTGGCCCAGCCATAGGACCTTACATCACTGTGCAAAGAACCCTGGGACCAGTGCTAAGAAATGGAAAAGCCAGGCAGGATTCCTCATGTACCTTGGAGCAAGAGGCACCACTCAGCAAGGGAGTAAGAAACTCCTTCCTGTTCTAATGAGCATCAAGAACAATCAGCACCAGAATTATCTCTTTATACCCAGTGATAAGACTCAGCCCACAGTGGGGTCTATGGAGAACTCTATTTAGACAACCAAACTGCTACTCCACCTTAATCTAGACCCCCCCAACCCACATAGATTATAGCTGATAATGTTCAGAAAGTGTTAGTATAGAACAAAACAGGAGGATGAGAAAAGTAATCCAGGCATACAGAGCAATCGGTTTATTGTCTCCCTCTGTAAACTGAAAGAAAGAAAAACTGCAAAGAAGTCTAGGAGAGAAGGTGGAACTTGAAGTACAGTTATTCCTGGGGATAGAAATTCGGTGAACTGGGGAACTTACTGTCTTCTCTGGGTTGAGAGCTTCTTCTAAGAGAAGTGCAGGGATCAGAACACAGGGAAGGGGGAAGGGGGAAGGGGGAAGGGGAGAAGTCTCTGTGGGATCCTACTGCTAGATGCCTTCATGTCCACCCCTGAGGTCCTGATGACCAAGCCCTGTGGAAGAGTGACCAGGAGCCAATCCAGGTCCTTGGCTCCTTTACCATGTCTTCTTTGAGCCCATCCTCCTTGTACTCCTTTCCACCCTGGGAAGATTATCTGGGAGGAGTGCAGAGTGGGGCAAAGTAAGCAAGGTGGCTTTTGGGGGAAAATGTCTCTGCCTATATTTAAAATCTGGAATTCAAATAACATTACAAAATAGGTCATTTTCTTCAAATAACTAGGATGAGTTCCTTGGGAATCACACAGGATTCCTTCTACAGGCTTCTGTTCTTCGGTGGTCACTTCTCCTAGGGGTGCACTAGACCCCTGTGTCATGGTGCTGGACTCCTAGAGACCAGGGCCTCCCCTTCTTTAAGACTTCTTGTAACCCTGCTTGGCCTCACTCACCTTATATTTCCGATCTTCTGGGACGTGGTATGGTTTTAGGTGAAACCACAGCAGAGGAAGTGTGTGAGCTGTGAGCTGATACTCAGGCACTTCCTGAGGTAGAGGGCAGGTACCGTACTGTCAGCAAACCTGCCCTGCAACCCCACCACAAGGTCACAGACACCCAGCTTTGCTCCATCTTCTGGGACCTTCTGTGAGCCTGTCAGCAAAACACTCACTACCCCTGCCAGTCCAGACAAGGTTATCACTTCCTGGGCTGAGCCAATCAGTTACCTCAGACCTGAGAAATGAGAAGTGAAACTCCTCATTCAGGAGGCGGGGCTTAGATTCCCCTGAGAATGTTCATTTCCTCCCCAACGGCTTGTGTGGAAAGCAAAGAACAACAGCCTCTTCAAAAGCTGCAGGCACAAAGGACAAAATAAAAGCCCATGAAACTCCCTTTAACCCCAGCACAGGCTATGGAGGAGCAGGAGGCCGGCAGAGAGCCCACTCACAGCTCTAACGAGATCTTCCTCTTCTGTTCTCAACCCTCCTGGAGTCCACAAGCTGCTGACCTGTAGCATTTTTAGCTCCTTCTAGGTGGCTTATGGTTTTCCCACAGTTCTGATAGTGTGGAAATGGACAGCAGCATATGGGCTGCTTGGCATCTCAACATTCTCCAGAGCTGGCCTCTCCCACTCCTCTGTCTTACACTGTGTCACCTTTTGTCCCTCATTGCCCTGTTAGGGGATTCAGGAACTTTTCAGTACCCACAGTCCTCTACTGAAGGAAGAAAGCAGAAGCCACTATCGGCCTGGAGCTGAGCGCTCTTATCAAAGGACTCTGTGACCCCAGGACCCAGAGCTCTGGTATGCACACTGCAAAGAACTGTGGACCCAGGTGTCCCATTCCAAGTGGCTTGGCCTAGGCTCTCCATTGCTAAGGGATCACAGAAAAGACACTTAGCACTAGTCTTGGTTAATTTTCTCTCATTGCCAAGATGAAATACTTGATACCCAAGGTTAAAGTAGAAAGGGTTTCTTTAGCTCACATTTTGTAGAGGGTTCAGTCCATAATAGGCAGATTCCAAGGCCAAGTGTATAACAGAAGGACAACAGTTCATGGTGGTAGAAAAATAGCTGAAGCAACAGGAGCAAAAAAGAGAAGAGCATAGTTCTTTTCCTCCTTCATATTGTATGCAGGCTGACCCGCCTAGAGTGGGTGTACCACTCGCACCCCCAACCCCAGGACTAGACAATGAACCAGTCACAAAGTCTAGATTCAGCTGCCTCCAAAAACCCCTCTCTCATGATCACATGAGGCTTTGGGGAACATCCAGACAAAACCATCGCATCACCAAGACACAATTTTAACGATTTTTAAAAAATTTTTATGTATGTATTTAGTCCAGGGTTTACAGGGTCTCACTGCACAGATCAGACTCATAGTGATCCTTCCTGTTTTTCAGCTTCCCAAGTGCTGGGCTTACATATGCATGGTGCAACCATGCCCAGTCTCAATAGCCTTCTCAGCGAGCCCCAGGAGTGGGGCTGGAGCAGCAGGCGGGGGATAGAACCCCTGGCCCCTGCATCTGCCTAAGCAGGTGCTTTAATCCACTGAGCTATCTGGCTGGCTCTTCAGACACAACTCTTATTAATGCTGAAAAGCAGATTGCCAACTTAAAAAAAAGACCTTGCACATTATAGCCTCAAGAGAAGGAGGTATTTATGGTGCATATACAAAAAAGTTCTTATGTAAGAATAGAACAATTCTTGTAAGGAGCTGAAGTTCTTCTAAGGTGCTGGCACAGGGCTCTGGAGACAAATCGCGATTCCAGGTATGCTCCGGGGCCAGTTCTGAGCCCCTAGTCTAGGTGATCCTGAAATCCTGTCCAAAGTCACTGCTAACCCTGGCAGCTCCCCACAGTCAGTCATCAGTAATAAGCAGTGCAAGTGATATGGGGGAGTGAAACTCCCAACCTGAAAGAGGCCTGGGCCGTGTTCATGTTCTCCAAAACTGAAGAATGAATTTATGAACAACGGAAATTCAGTGCAGAATGTATTTACTAGGGGAAAGAAAGCTTCTGTCCGAGAGAGGGATAGAAGGATGACCTGAGCAGGTTGGCCCTTGAATCTATTTTTTCCAGGGATTTTTATAAATCAAAACCATGTGGTGAGGTGGGTCTAAGGGGGAGAACATGGGAACTCGCCTCGGTGGGCATGAGGTGGGGCAAAACTATGGCCAATAAACTCACAAGCACAATTGCTCAGGTAAAATTGTTTCAATCCAGGACCAAATGGGGAAGCAAGTCACATAGCAAGGAGGCAAGAATATAGAACAGGGCCTTTTCCTGTAGGGCGCTGGAGTAGTGACTCTCAGGTGTCCTCAAGGTGAGTTCCATTTAGAATAGCAATCCCTGATGTCTATCCTTAGAGAGGTATATATTTGTCTGGTCTTTTGACTTGAGGTCTGGCCCAGCAGAGAGACACCTGTCTCTCCCACTGTTGTGAGGTATACTGTCTTCCATCCTGGCTCCTATGAGGGCCCAGCCCTGTCTGATTGCCTATAATATTTCTACCTTTCTACCTAACTCAGCTGCCTACAACACAGGGAACATGGACTTCAGGGGCTCCCATTCCTAATGGTCCATCAGCTCAGGCTAGAGGAAAGACAGTAAAATAGATCCTCTCCTCCCATCTTAACTACGAGATCCTTTAGGGCTCTCTACCTGCCTGGGGGCTCACAGAGGCTTCTGCCTTACCAACATAGTAACTCACTGTGTCCTGGCACATCCCATGGGAGCAGACTCCAAACAGCACAGCACAGGTTGACTCCTTAGAAACCGGCATGCAGCCTCAGAAGCAGGAATGAGTTTTTCAATCCCCAAATATTTCAATCCTCTTTCCAACTATTCTTAGCTTTCACTACTGTAGATGACTTCTTCCCATTTCATCCCACGTATGTCCTATCAAACCATCAAAAAAGGGAAACTTACAAATACAAGAAAGAAGACAAACTACCACTACCAAAAAACCCAGCTGCACAACAAAAGCAAGATGGCCTATGTGGTAACAGCTGCCCCTCCTGTTTCTTGTCACAAGAAGGAAGAGCTGGTATATGCAGTAAATAGCAGACCTTAGCAATGAGATCGCTGTAGAACTCAGAGCAGTGTCTCCAACGCTCTGGCTACAGCAGAGGCTCTCCCATGGAAGGAGGTATCCCTCCAGTACAGAAGGCTGGGTGGATCCCGTGAGTCTCAGGTGAGTGTGCACTGAGTCTCCCAAAAGATCCCTGGACTGTGCATCTCTGTGCAAAGAGTCAATCCCAGCCAGCCTTTGAGCACCTTCCCTGTCTCCTTCACTCTTCCTTCTCAACCAGTCCACTCTTAGAACTTGCTAAAAAACCTGGGCCTTTTTCTCCCTTGCAACTCCTTGCAAAGTACATTTCCTTCCCAGGGCTCTTTTCACTGTATATTTCACTCATTTATGTTATTTTTGTCTGTCTCCCTTACGAGGGTGAAAGTTCCATAAGGGTAAACATTCTCATCAATATTCACCGATGGATCCCAGATGTAGAAATCTTGCCAGCATCCCAAGTATGTCAAATGAAAATCTGCCTGGTTCTACTAAGCCCCAAATTAGAAGATGGCTTCACCCCTGTGTGTCTGTGTGATGTGGTGTGAGTTGTGAGTCAGCTCCATGGAGATGTGCCCTGGATTACATGTGATTGTGTGTACAGGCATGTTGGAGGATTGCAGGTTACCAAAGTAAGTGTTGTTAGAATGTTTTAGACTGCATGGTCATTGCAGGTTTTCAGAGAGCTGGCTTTCTCTGTCCTGTAGGAAATATGGAGGATTCAGATTGACTGGGTGAATATGAAAATGGGAGAAATGGGCTTCTGAGAAAGAAAGCTGAGAGGAGATATGTGAACATCAGAGTGCCAAAGCAGTTATGAGGACAGGCTTTTCAGATGATTGTAGGGAAGAGAGTCTGTATATATATGAAAGCTTTTCAAATTCCTGTAACGTTCTCTGGAGCCTGTTCTAGGGATGAACTGAGGTTTAAGGTAGATAATTTTCCAAAATAGTTCTGAAGCAGGTAGTAATAATACAAGTAAAGGCAGCTAACATTTACTGCTTCGTGCCAAGCCTGTGCCCAAATCCAGGCTTGTTAATGTATGCCTTTCAAGTAAATACTCCAGGGGTTGAAGTGCAAACTGTGAGACTAGTTTCTCGACAAAAAAATTAAGAAAGCAACAGAAAGAATGTGTACACTGGTCAGCTGAGATTCTTCCATCCACTGAAAAGAAAGTAGAAGAATGAAGAAAAAGAAAAATAAATAGAGCCTCAAGGGCATGTGGAATATATGTCAAATGAGACTCCCATGGAAGTAGAAAAGACATAAGAAAGAATACTTCAAGGAATAGTGGAAGACACTTGGAAAATTTAGGTAACAATGCTAATAATCTACATATCAAAGGAGCTCAGTGAATTTCAGGTAAGATAAAAATCACAGAGATCCATGCCTAGATACATCATAATCAGATAAGCAAAAGGAAAAGAATCCTGAAAGCAAAAGAGAAAAAAGTAGAAGCTCACATAGTGACCAGTGACATGCTTGACAGATAACCTCAAAGGAGCTACGGACACCAGGAGACCTTCAATTACATAGTCAAATTTTTAAAAGTGACTTTCTGTCAAGAAATCTAGAATTTAAAAAAAAACAACTAAAACTGTCTTTAAAAGGAAGGATGAAGACATTTCTTGATAAATCTGAGTGGCTCACTCAAAGATGTTCTATAAGAAATACTTAAATTTTTTTTCCAGGGTAATACAAAATGACACTAGACAAGAGACTGAATCCATATGAAGAAATAAAGGGTACCAAGAGAGGGTGCCGAGTAGGTAAATGTAAGACAGCACAATTGTACTGTTCACCTATGCTTCCTATTGTAAGTTTGTATTGATAAACATGTAATGCATGGAGGTATAATTTGTATGATAGTAACAACACAAAGAAAGAGAGATGGGTTAGTAATATACTATAGCAAAATATTTATATATTATTAGGATTAAGTTGATATGAACCCAAACCAGATTAATTAATATGTTAGCGGTAATCCTTAAAGGAATCACTATGAGAGCTCAAAGAGTATAATTCAATAAATGAGAAAGTAATTAAAATGGTATATAAAAAAATCTGTTTAGCACAATGCAAAGTAATAATGGAGAAGCACCAGAAATGACACAAGATGTACATACATATACATATATTCCTGGTTTAATAACCGGCCTATTTAGAGATGGTTCAGATTTTTGACCGAGGCATGCTAGTCACGCTTATGATCTGCTGCTGACTTGTGACCCATCTTTTTCTTTGTACAGTTCTGTACTTCTTGTTTCTAGAGCCCCAATGTCTTTTTTGTACAGTACACCTTATTTATACAGTATGGTAATTTTTGTTGACTGAACAGTGGACTATTATAGTTTTGTGTTCTGTTATACATTACAGTACTGCATGAAAGAGTTCTAAAAATAAAAACAGTCATCAAGTTGGAGTTTTCTTTGAGCATTTATTTGTTCTGAATATTGTAACTTAGGTACTACATACAATTCCTTAGAGACCAATTCATTCAAAATATATTGAATGCAAAGACATTTTAAAAAATCTTTTATTTATTCATACATTTGGTTCCTGAGATCAAACCCAGGTCCTTGTGCTTGTCAGGCAGGCACTTAGACCACCGAGCTATCTCCCCAGCCCTCAAAAACATTTAAAAAGCAATATTCAGTTGAAACTCAAGCTACGGGTGAAGGAAATCAGAAGAGGCTATCAAGTTCTCAGCCAGGGGCTGCTACACACATCAGAGACCCTGAACCAGGAAAAAAAAAGTCAATGAAAAATCCTGAGTGATGAACCACCAAATAACTCAGCAAATAAGTATCCACAGCAACAACCAGGCATATTGCCCCTTGTGGTGGACATGTTGACAGAATCAATATGTATTGTGATAAAATTACAGTGAACACTTGAAAATAATTTGTTATAGTGAAAGACACATTGCAATCAATCTCTTCCTCGAAATCTCCTCCTTCCTTTGAACATACTTAATCTTTTGCTCTTGTGTCTTCCTTAAGCATTCCGAAAACTCATTTTCATGAGCTTTCTAACATATTCTTGTGAAAGTATATAAAATATTGAGATACAATGAATGATCAATATCCAAAGTATTATACCACTTGAAGTTTATTTTAAAAGTACAACAAAGAAAATTTGACCAAATATATGTTGCAGCAGAATATAGGCATGAAAACCCAAATGCTAGCAATTATTAAATGAAATTTACAGCTCATAGTAACAGAAAGCAGTGGGCAAATAAAGCAAAAGTCACTTATTTCTCCTTGACTGGCACTAATTAAAGTGCCAAACAACACCATGGATGGTCAGGGACATCAAAACTAGGACCTGAAATTCACAAGCCCAGTACAAGAATACAAGGTGGCACTTGGTTTCTGCTGAAGAGCTTGCGGTGAGAGAGCACCATTGGGGGAAAGGTGGCCATTCCCCAGAGGAGAATGAGTTGTACCAAAAGACAAATATTACAAATAGCTCTATAAGAAGTTAAATCCACCACATCCTTTCAGAACCTTGACCTGTTACCCAAAGTATGTGACATTACCAAGGAAAGAGTATTTTAAAATCCTCCTTCAGCCTCCGAGGATTATTTTTCTTCCTATTTCTTGCTGTCACCCTATGAATTGCAACTTGGAAGACACAGGCTCAGATTGCTCTGAATTGGTGCACCACACAGGAAAAGTAGGAGCTTTTATGGGCTACTGAATGTTGACAAGGGACATGGGATAAATGTCTGACAGAAGGTAATAACACAAATATATAAACAGGATGCAGAGGTTCACAAAGCAAGGGTCTTCTACCCTGTTCATACGCATCTTGAAGATCTGGGCGTAAGTCCCAATGTAATTGTCCCATTTTTACTGAATTAGTAGCTTTTTTCTCTGACTCCATACCATCATCAAATAGGCATACAGTTCTGGGAGCAAGCAAAGTCCACTGATGGCCCATGGATAGAGAAGGGAACATCACATTTTAAAAGAACCTCCTCCTCTAGCAGATCTGGGTCTGGCTTTTTACTAGGATTTGGGAAGGATGTGGTATATATGTTGCCTTCAGAGAATGGCAGATTTCTAGAAATTGAAATCTCTTGAGTAATTCAGATGTCATGAAGAGTCAGATGTCATGGTACTCCAAGCTGTGAGAATATTTGGTTGGGTTTTTCATTACAGTGAGCCCAAGGTGCTGTGGAGCATCAGCATGGGACTCAGTTCACATGCAGTGAGTTTCCAGTACCCCACCCCCCTGGACAGTAGGAAGCACACGATAACTGGTGGTTGGCACCTGGAAGCATGTGGTTATCAGTAGCCAGGCTGAAACATGCAAGCAAGCAACAGTAGGCTGATTGGAGGACAATGTGGAAGTAACTTGGAGGACCGTTCAGTCTGTCGACACCCTTATTCCAGATGACCATAAGCTAGTAGTGAAGGGGATACAACCAGGTACCAACTGGAACTGTGCAGAAGCCCTGTTTGTCCTTTTCATAAGAATAGAAAATATATCAATAGCACTGTTTCATTTCCTCATTCTTAGAGACATGCTGTCAGAGAACCTCCCCCTCAGCAAACAATAATTTTATATCAGCTACAAATTATTGTAGCAGTTCATAACATTGTGATTTTAGCCACCGACACTAAGGTTGTGCTTTGGCTGACTTCACTATTGTCCTGCCATTAGCACATTCAGTAAAGACTGTATAAAACCTATTGGAACATACTTCCCAAAATAAGTTCAGGTATGGAACTAAGCTCTATTTGATTGTATCATAATCATAACAAAGACTGCCCACAGTCATTCCAGAAATAACTATTTACTGAGATGCTACAATATTTCATGATGGCTGCCTTTAGCATAGCTTGCGGCACACCAACTACTTTCTGTTTTCCAGAACTGAATCCTCTGTTGAAAATTAATTTTTACTCCTCCTCCTGTTTCCATTTGAAACTGCTCATGGTAGGCCAACCTTAGCCTTTCTCACACTTCATTTGGTGATTTCCCAGGTAGGCTCACTAGGTCTGGAAAACCCCCAAGAGTACAGTTATCATTAGAAATCAATGGGTCATTGGTTGGGTAAGATAACACATTTTGTATTTTCTGGTTCTTTATAGAGTTGGCACATGGCCACAACTTTCTCTCACTCCTCCCATACATGAGTCCAAAGGCTCAAAGTGGGAGAAGTAGGAACTCTTGGTGTCAGGGTCAGGCAACTCATCAATCAGTCATACTGAAAATAAAAGCCTGAACCCATGAAAAGCAGTACAGAGGACAAAGTCTGGCCATCACAATATCTTGCTTTCCCTTCACTCAGGCTGGCCATCTGTTAGACTATTTCCATAGGCTAATACCCTAGCGTTATTCTAATAGAGTGCAGGAATAGCAGAAAAGAAAACTAGCCTTACCAGATTCCCATATTTTCAAGCCAAGGAAACTTTTCTTTCTTTCTTTCTTTCTTTCTTTCTTTCTTTCTTTCTTTCTTTCTTTCTTTCTTTCTTTCTTTTTTTCTTTCTTCTCTCTCTCTCTCTCTCTCTCTCTCTCTCTCTCTCTCTCTCTCTCTCTCTTTCTTTCTTCTTTCTTTTTTGCTCCTTCCCTACTCAATAGATGGAGGTAGGAACAAAGCAGAATGTTGATAAACATGAAAAAAAGGCCACAGAGTACCAGAGAAGGAAGCCTTGGGGAAGGTGAAGATGTGGGAGCCAGAGGCCATGCTGTAAAAGGACACAGCTCCAGCCTCATAGTCCAGAGCAACCCCCACCACCATGTGCTCTTCACACAGCTCAAGAGTACTGGGGGGAGAGGTCAGGGCTTCAAAGATGCTCTCTGTACACAGCCTGATGGCCCAGAACCCAAGCTCGGGCTCCTGCTCCATTCCAAAGCCTCTCAGCACATCTTCTGTACAAACTCCCACAACCCAAGATTTCTCTTCTCCCACATCCACTTCGAAGTAGTGTCTTCCTGAGCTGAAGCCCTCACAGCCCAGGACACGGGGGAGGGCGGTAAACCTCCTGGAAGAAACGCTGAGATTCTGCTGACTGCATTCATGAGACTCTTGTTTTTGATCCTCAGCTGGAGTTAGGGCAGGATGAGCTGCATCTGGATCCCGAGTCACACTGACTGCAAAATGGACATAAATAGAACTAAACATATTTCTGTTGCTAAAAACAAAATTTATCTTAGATGAAATTTTCTCTTTTTTCTAAATAAAAACCGGCAGGATGATTTCTTCGTCATTTAGAGTCACTGCGTGGAACAAACATATACACTGTGTTCAGTTGGCACAACACTGGCAAGAGGAATGGGAAGGGAATGTGGTCATGAGAGCTTGATAAAACATGAACTCACTTTCTACACAAGTAGGTGTGATACGGAAGAAGACTGTCTTCACTGCTGCAGTTATGATCACAACACTTTCAGATTGCTATAACTGACAAGTTTTTGTTACCCACCTTCATTATGTCAATATATGAGCTATTGCAACCTTCCCTTGAGCTCATGCTGCAGAAATATGTGGTCTCATGGACAACCATGTGAAAGGAGCCCAAGGGAGGGCCGTGGAGCTAAGGCAGCTCCAGCCACAAGCAGCAAGAAGCCAGGGCCCTACATCCTACAACCCAAGGAGAATAAATCCCTCCAGTGACCCGAGGGAGCAAGGGTGGGTACTATCCCTGGAGGAATGTCCAGGTGAGAACACAGCCTGGCCACACCTTTACTGCAGCCTCCTGAGACCCTAAGCAGAGGGCTCTCATGCTATGGTCAGATTCCTGACTCACAAAGTCTGTGGGATCCTATAACCATATTGTTTTAAGTCACTACACTTTGCTGATTTGTTGGTAACAACAGATAACTAAAATAGCCAGCAAGTAGCTTCAGGTTCTAATTATGGAGATTGATGGTCACAATAAAACTTTCTATTTTCACAGAATTTGTATTTTGTAATTATGGAGAAAAATGTAGAAATCTAGCAATCACTGATAAATGGAGCAAAGGGGGCAAGAAGACCCTAGAATTTATTTTTGTCACAGTTCTGACATGTTCTTTTAACTGTATGAGGGAATTACTTAAAATGTTTTAAACCATAGCCCATCATGCTCACTATCTTTCTGCACTGCTGTCAGAATTTGAAATAGCCACAAGAAACATACCAGTCAGATCTAACTCCAAGCTGGGGCCCTCATCCTGTGTCAGACACAGTGTACACAGGACAACTTTGTGCGGTAGGAACTGTGAATGCACTCATTCCTCAGAGAGGGGCTCTAAGTGGTAGGTAGGACTGGGGTGACAAGGCCACCACATTGGAGATCAGGAACTGAAGGTTTCCGCTGAGCGGATGCAGCACAGACTAGAAATGGAGCACAGAGGAAACGGAGATGAAGCAGCTCTGCTGAAAATGACCCCCTGCTCAGGGCTGCCCAGGATGGTAGTGATGCTTCAGAACCCTCCCATCACAGCACTGAGGGAGCCCCGAACTCTCTCTCATACCTTGATGGCGTCTTACCATCGCCTTCACATCCAAGTAAAGCTCAGCAACATCACATGCAGTCTGAACCTCCAAGGAAAGGGCCTCGGGAGTTTCCAGCTTCACAGCACAAGTCCTAGAAGAAGCAGAGGCACAGCCTCCTCAGTGCTCCTCTCCATTCAGCTCTGCCCCCCGGGACCCTCCCTTCCCATGTTCACATGGACTCACCTGCTCAAGGTGCCTTTCACATCCTGTAAGGAATGAAACAAAAGGCCAGTATGTTAACCTCAGTACTCCATGGGCTGTGGCATGGGAGAGGCTGTCTCTAGACACAGGTCCCCAAGAAGGAAGGAGGGGCGAAGCCTGAGGCACTGGTGAAGAATCAGGAGCAAGGTTCCCACCCAACCTCTGCCCACTCAGCAGGGGGCTGTGATCTCCCTGGGGGACCTGTGAGGAAAAGCAGTGGCCACAGTGGCATCAGCCTGTGGCTGCTGGGGACACAGGAAGGAGATCTGTTTCACATCCCTCTGGCAAGACCAGCTCTCAGGGACCTGATGTCCTGCAGAGTGAAGCTATGTCTCCTATGCAATCAACCCATGTCACCATGGGATTACGGTCACCAAGGCTATGTGTTCTGACTTTCTACACAGCTCCTGAGATTGGGCCATTGAGACTGCAGCAGCCAGTAGGCCACTTTCACTACTAAAGTAAAACCATTAATTCCACTAGTGAGGCCACAAAGGAACAGCTCCTGTGATTTGCCATAAGAAGGCCTATGGTTGCTCCCCAGCAAGGGCTGAACCTATAGTGACTCAAGAAAAGGCCCTTGTTTGAGCTGCCCCTCTGTCTCCATCTGTTAACTGAAAAAGTTTCAGAAAAGAAACTGATATGGATCACTACACATAGCCAAGGGAAAACGTAGCTAAGGTTAACCTTGGTGTCCATTTGGCCACTCCACATTCACCCACAGGGTACCAGTTTTTTTGTTGCACTGGAGGTTGAACTGAAGGCCTTGCTCAGGGGAGGCAGCCCTGTACCTTCAACTCATATCCTTAGTCTTTTAATAAATTTTAATTTCAGATCAAATCTCACTAAATCATACAGGATGCCCTTACATTTGTAATCCTCCTACTTGAGCCTTCCAACTAGCTGGGTTTATAGAGGGGCACACAGTGCCTAAACTCCCACCTTAAGGCTCCTGTTGGAGCAGGAGCAGGCTCTGGCCATCTTCCTGGGCTTCCTGACCACTCTCCTCCTAACAGCTCAGTATCTGAATCCTGCTTTCCTTCCCAAGCCCACAGCCTCACCTGCAGCAGCTTCTGGGCTGAGCTCTGACATTTTTCCTCCAGTTTCAGGATGTGGCTCTTGAGCTTCTTGCTCTTCTGCCGCAGCTTGGCCTCATTCTCCTGCAGTCTCTTCAGCATCTGCTCTTCTTCCTTTTCCAGCCTCCAGAGGTACAACTTCTCTTCTTCAAGTAGAAAAGTTTGCAGACACTTGAAGTCAGACTTGATTTTTTGTTTCTGAATCTCTATCTTGTCCTGGAGTTTAAAAAGTATGGCAAAAGTGTCATCAAACCAGAAGTCCATGTACAGATGACAGATAAACTATTATATACAGATGGAAAGCAGGACTACCAAACCTTAAAAACAATAAAAGTTTGAACCTTTCCACAAGGCTAAACCTCAGAGACATTCTACTGAAGGAAATAAGCCTGAATCAAGCAGATACGGTGTGCATCTCCCTTAAACTAGGTACCTGCAATAGTTCAGTTTGTGGAGACAGAGAACAGAGTAGCAGCTACCAGGTGGTAGGCGGAATGATGAATGGGGCTTAGTGTTTAATGAAGGCCAAGTATCTAGTCTGGTGTACAAGAAATAAATCTTTCAGTTTTTTTAAAATCTCAATCATCTTCTGTCCCTAAACATTAGAATGGAAAATAGTCAAATTCAGTGACTCAGATTCTTACCTTCCATTCATCTATTTGAGTTGTTACCCACTCTATCTGATCCATACACTCCTCTTGAAGTTGATTCAAATTTCTGGCAGCTTGCTCTAGCTTTTCCTAGAGGAAAAAATGGGTGGGTAAAGCCTATTCAATTTGATTCTTAATTAGGCATCTAATGAAAATCCCAGCATCCAAATGTGCTAAAACAACAGTGAATACTTCTTGAGTCTTTGCATTTGCTAGGAAGACTGGTAAGTGCAGTATGTATTATGGCATACAGATCCCCTCACCAACATTGAAAAGTTAACAGAATTTTTTAATATCCTTTCTAAATTGTGGGAAAACATATTTCAAAAGAGTATAATAATGATCATGTTCATCATAGGGAATTTGTATCTGTACACAAAATAACTCAATCCTGGTAACCACCCCCCATTCTCCTACCTTCCTTTTGACCCTTTTTCCTCCTTATTTACAAAAACTTTGTTTTCATTTTTTCCTTCTTCTATCATTTTTCTTTTTTTTCCTTCCCTTTTTTTCCCCCTACATCCTCCCTAGTTGTCCTTCCCATTTGTACGCTTTCTTCCTATTTCTCAGTATCTACTATTCTTTTGGGTACTTACTTATACTTTCAATTTCTTACACTAATGAAACAATCTGTGTCACATTGTATCAGTGACATATGTGTCTGATTTATTTCATTTAAGAGTATGGTGTCAGGGTGCATCCATTTAGCTAGAAATGCCTCAAGCTAATCCTTCTTTTGGAAGAGTAGAACTCCATTCTATTTTTTTAAAAAAACAAAAACAACAACAACAAAAACAGGCCTTTATCCATTCATTGGTTCATGGGCATTTGGGCTGTTTCCAAGACTTGGCTATTACGAAGTGTGCCACATGCCATTCTAAACTTTCCATATTCCAATGTCCTAAAACTCCAGGGAGAAGGAAAGGCCTAGCTTACAACCCTATGCATAGAAGGGAAAATCAGAGCATAAAGCTATTAAATAAATGACCCCCAATTCTCCTACCTTCATGAGCCAGGGGTAGATTATAACTCAAGCCATGGCCTTGCACAACTCTTCTTCTTGCTGAGAAAGTAACTCAAACAGGACCATTCCTATTGCAGACATTAGCAGCTCCATCAAATCTAAGCAGACACTGAGCAGGGTTCAGGACTGAGGTGACCTTAGGAACTCAAGGAGCCTGCCTGGAACCCAAGTCTGAACCCTGATGGAGAGAACCAGGAGCTGCTCTGGGCACAGGCTCCTCAGCTCCAGAAGAGTTGACTTCTGGCCCAGGGCAGCAGGACTAAGTCAGCTCCTTCTTTCACCACCTCATAGAGCTATCATTTTATCTGTTCTTCTGGAATTTTGTTTGAAACTGTCATCTTGCTATCTTTCTTAAGGGTATAATTTGAATTATAACTTTGATATTCCTTGTATTTTAGGAGTGCCTGGGCAGTGGCTTTCCCCAACAGCCCTGATCCTCTACTTCCCAAGAGAAAATTCACCTATGACAGGTGACACTGTCACCTAGGGTTGAGACTTGGTACTGACACTCAGGTCCTGTCCCTTGAATATGTCCAAGGGCCTGGGTCTGGCTGCACACTCACCTTGTAGCCCTGGCACACGTCCTCCACCAGCTCCGTGGCATGCCCTTGGTGTTGTGGTGCCCGCTCACAGCGCCAGCAGATGAGCTGGCCATCGTCTTCACAAAAGAGCTGAAGCTGCTCTTCATGGGCCTCACACAGCAGCTCATCCTCTGTCTCTTCTATCTCCTGGATGAGCTCAACAAGGCTTCCTAGCAGCTTGTTGACCCGGATGGTATCCACACTATATAGCTCCTTACAAATATTGCAGGGCAATTGAGTCTTCTTCCATGATGATTGACTATAACTTAGTCCAGAATTAAAGATGCCTATGAGACAGCTTCTACAGTAGCTGTGTCCACAGCTGATGCTTACTGGGTCCACCATCACATTCTTGCATATGAAGCAGGTGGCAATCTCTTTTACCTTTTGAGTAATTGTTGTTGAGGTCATAGCTTTTCTCAAGAAGTTCCAGGTATAAAAATGAAGTGGCCCAAATTTGGACAGTCCTAGAAATTCACCTCACCTTTGCCTATGACTGGCCTCCACAGGTCTTGAAGTCTTCAACCTAGAGCAAAGAAACTAGTTAGAATGTAGAATATACACAAGTATATATCTGTGTTGTTTGATAACATAGCCACTGCCATGATTGGCCATCTAAATGTAATTTAATGGATCTTTAATAAAATTGAAAATCCATTTCTCTCAGTCTTTCCAGCCACATTTCAGTTGCCTATGATCACATGCATCTGATGCCTACATGACACCCAGGTCAGAACAGATGGCTCACAACTCTTACTCTAGCCATTGCAGAGCTTGGTGCATTGGAATTGCAAGTTCAAGGACATGCTGGGCAGATTGCTACAACCTTGTCTTATAAAAAAATATAATAAAGGAGGAGCTGGGATGTAGCTAAGTGGCAGAGTGCTTGCATGGCATGTATGAAGCCCTGAGTTTGATCCAAGCATTGCCAACAAACAAACAAAGACAGCCAGGAGATAGAGCATCCCTTCGTAATGGGCGCTCTCTGGAACCAGTGCTGAGAGAGATGAAGAGTCATGGTGGACTTCCTCACAGAAGTTGCAGCAAGAGCCCCAATTCAGAGAGCGGCAAGAAACTCTTTCCCATTCTAATAAGCACTGTAACTTACTACCAGAATGATCTTTTAATATTTGGTGGTACCCCACAGTTAGGTGGCCGATGAGGACTCCAGTGAGGCTGTCAAATCACACTTCATCTTTATCTCCACTCCCACCAGAACGAAGGGAAACTTTTTTACAAAGGCTGTGCCTAAAATGAAAAAATAGCTTTGAACTAATGCTACTAAATAGGACCTTTTCCTCTTATATCAGGAACAGCCTCTTAGGGCCACAAGATATTTCTTCTGTGGCTTCTGTTCTTTGGCAGCCATTTCACCCGGTGTACACTAAACGCCCCCCCCCCCCAGTGTTAGGGGGACTGGGCTTCTTGGGACCAGAGCCTCCCCCCTTTAAGACCCACATCCTTTGTCTCACTTACCTTATATTGTGGATTTTCTGAGATGTGGCGTGTTTTCTGTTGAAAATGACAGCTAATAAAGGGTGAGAGCTGTGAGCAGGAACTCACAGCTGAGGAATGCGGCAGGGCCCTGCTGTCAGCGAACACTCTTTCCACTCCCACCAGTCTCAGTCTCCCACTACCCCTCTCCACCCTTCAGCCTCCAGGATGCTGATCACTCTGTTCAGGGCCCGTCAGGAACACCCCTCCCCCTCCACTGGCTGCCAATCCTGCCAAGACTATCACTTCCTGGAGCTGAAGCATTCAGTGACTTCAGATCCGAGAAATGAAAAATGAAACTGCTGAGAGAGGAGAGCCACAGACTCAGGGCTAAAGAAAGTTTCTCTGGTCTTTTTCCCTGAGCTTGTCCTGAAAGAGAAGGCAAACACAAAGAAAACAGCCTATTTGAAAGGAACAAAGTAAGAACTCAGGAAACTCCCTGTAATTCCAACACAGGCTGTGGAGTAGGAGGCCTGTAGAGGGCCAGCTCATAGCTGGGGAGTGAGATCTTCCCCCATCTCAAAATCAGACTACAGATTTTATTTTTGTAACCTAAGGGAGAATTACTATTAAATAGGAGAAAGTAGATAACCATTTTGAAATAAGACCTTGCCACATTTATAATCTGGAGTAGGGGAGATATTCATTGTAAGTGCAACAGAAATGCTTGTGGAAGAAATAAGTACACACAGTGGTTCAGAGGAGCTGCTAAAGGGGCTGGGACACAGAAAAGAGGAAAAATAGCTTGAATTCTGGGAGCCATGTAGGACTCACTTCGGACCTCTAACCTGCCTCACTGGGTGTTAATCCTGACAGCTTCTCACAGTCAGTGCTGGACAGTAGACAGAGAAGTACCATGGACCTCAGGGGTTACAGGCCTTCTGGTCCAACAGCTCAGGTTACAGGCAAGAGTGTGAAATATGGTCATCTTTTCCCACCTTAAACAGTCTAGTGTTTGGAGCACTCTGCCTGCCTGGGTACTCACAGAGCCTCCTGCCATTTTAACAGAGTAATTCACTAGGTCCTGGCAACTTCTAGGGGAACAGATTCCACACAGCACAAGACAGGTTGACTCCTGAGAAACAAGCACACATACTACAGAGCATAACTGGGCTTCTCTGTCCTGGTCCTCACAATGACGCCGTGTTAATATCCTTCACTTTTCATTGTTCCAGAGAAGACTCTGGACTCAGGCTCGGTTCATTCAAATTTTGCCCTATTTTATTTAAAACAGGATTAAAGGGAAAATTTCTAATGTCAGGAAATAAAAAAGGAAGAGAAAGAAGGAAAAAGGAAAGGAAGTGGAGGGAGGGGCATGAAGGAAGAGAGGGGAGGGGAGAAGGAGGAGGAGGAAGAGGAAGAGGAGGATGAGGAGAAGGAGAAGGGGAAGGGGAAGGAGAAGAAGGAGAAGGAGAAGAAGGAGAAGAAGGAGAAGAAGGAGAAGAAGAAGAAGAAGAAGAAGAAGAAGAAGAAGAAGAAGAAGAAGAAGAAGAAGAAGAAGAAGAAGAAGAAGAAGAAGAAGAAAGAAGG